GACATGTTTGGTTACACCTCGTACCGCCTCCATACTAAGATTAATCGTACATTCGTAATAATTACAATTGTTCTAAACAATTTACAAAAATAGATTTTCCGTGCTTGGTCTCAAAAGACAAAAATAAGAAATGGTTTATCAATCGGGAATCCATCCTAATTCGCATGGATTCTCTATTTAATTATTCAGTTTTAAATTTTACATACAATTATAATAGGTAACAAATAAAGAATTCTGTTAAATTGCTTTACTTTAAATATTATTTTTCCCTTTCAAATCACATCATCATGTTCAAGTCCATGAGAAAAAAAATTCTAGAAAGTAAAACAAGTATATCCACGTACGACGCACAAGCACTATACTTGTTACTATAAATGCGCCTTCATATTGATTTTAAAAACGATATTAATTAAAAAAAATGAATCATTATGATAAATTTAAAGTTTCCATATTTGTTGAATTATCTAGAGGAATTTAAAGATTTCTTCCAGTCCAATAGACGAGACAAGACTTTAGCCAATTTTATATCTCCAAAGAAAGGGTGCCGCAATAATTGAATTTGAATTCTTCTGATCGGGTTTATATTTTCAAATTAAAATATTTAGGGAAAAATGTGTACATGCCCCAAAAACAGAAACTTCATGTGACGAGGTCCCTCACAGTTTTCCCCATGTGAATCAGCCTCTTGATGTGTGACATTTTGTACTGCAGCCATTTTTTATTAATTATTACATGCCAGCTAAGTTAAAATCCCCAAATTCTCCTTATCCTCTCTCCTCAATCTCTCAGACCCAGCAATCATATCATCTTTCTCTCTCATGTCCTCTCTCTCTCTCATCTCTCTCTCTCTCTCTCTCCTCTCTCTAAAACTAAGAGCTTTCTCAAGCTCGTCAACCTGGCCCTCGCCCTCCTCGCCGTTGCCGCCTCCGCTCAGGCCCCCAAGGCTCCCCTCGAGTTCGTCGTCGCCTCCCCCTCCTCCATCCGTCCTTATCGCCGTAGATCGCCGCCACTCCCCCGCCGTAGATCGCCGTCGTTGAGACACACAGAGCGTTAATCAATTAGCTAGAAGAAGAAAAGAAAAAAAAGAAAAATTGTTTGACCAGCTACAAATAAATTAACGATTTAATTTTAAAAAATAGTCAAAAGTTGTCCTCATTTTTCCACTTTCACGAGACATCCACGTCTTTTTGGATGAAGCTGAATTTGCAATAAACCTAATGTGCGCAGTCTTTTTGTATTTTAATTTCGAACAAATTTTTAAAATAGACCATTTTTAAAACTTAATTAGCAAAATAGGCTGAAAAAATATATAATTACCAAAAATCGTTGTAAGCTGGGACGGTAGTTATAAATCGTTGTTATAAATGAGGATACAACCATGTTTTTATAAATCGTTGTTAATTATATTTGATAATAGTTATACCTAATGATATGTTATTTCTAGATGCTATCGTGGTAGTTCTAGTAGCCCTCGAGTTAGTTCTAGCTTCTATTACCCTAGTTCCAGCTTGTATACAGCCAGTTCTAGCCCACACCTTGCTAGTTCTAAACCAAGCCCGTGTTTTTTTACAAGCAAACTTGTTAATTCTAGCTTCTACGTTAGTTCTAGCTTCTATTACCCTAGTTCTAGCTTATATACAATCAGTTCTAACCCGCACCTTACTAGTTCTAAACCCAATAAGGGTTCTTTACATGCACACTTGTTGATTCATGCTTCTACGTTAGTTTTATCTTCTATTACCCTAGTTCTAGCTTATATACAGCCAGTTCTAGCCCACACCTTGCTAGTTATAAACCCAACAAGGATTTTTTACATGCACACATGTTAATTCTTGCTTCTACGTTAGTTCTAGTTTCTATTACTTCTACGTTAGTTCTAGCTTCTATTACCCTAGTTCTAGCTTATATACAACCAGTTCTAGCCCACACATTGCTAGTTCTAAACCCAACAAGGGTTTTTTACATACACACTTGTTAATTCTAGCTTCTACGTTAATTCTAGCTTCTATTACCCTAGTTCTAGTTTGTATACATCCAGTTCTAACCCACACCTAGCTAGTTCTAAACCCAACAATGGTTTTTTACATGCACACTTGTTAATTCTTGCTTCTACGTTAGTTCTATCTTCTATTACCCTAATTATAGCTTGTATACAGCCAGTTCTAGCACGCACCTTGCTAGTTCTAAACCCAACAAGGGTTCTTTACATGCACACTTGTTAATTCTTCCTTCTACGTTAGTTCTAGTTCTAAACCCAACAAGGGTTCTTTACATGCACACTTGTTAATTCTTCCTTCTACGTTAGTTCTAGCTTCTATTACCCTAGTTCTAGCTTGTATACATTAATTCTTCCTTCTACGTTAGTTCTAGCTTCTATTACCCTAGTTCTAGCTTGTATACAGTCAGTTCTAACCCACACCTTGCTAGTTCTAAACCCAACAAGGGTTCTTTACATGCACACTTGTTGATTCTTGCTTCTACGTTAGTTCTATCTTCTATTACCCTAGTTCTAGCTTGTATATAGCCAGTTCTAGCCCACACCTTGCTAGTTATAAACCCAACAATAATTTTTTACATGCACACATGTTAATTCTTGCTTCTACGTTAGTTCTAGTTTCTATTACCCTAGTTCTAGCTTGTATACAGCCAGTTCTAGCCCACATCTTTCTAGTTCTAAACCCTACAAAGGGTTCTTTACATGCACACTTATTAATTCTTGCTTCTACGTTAGTTCTAGCTTCTATTACCCTAGTTCTAGCTTGTATATAGCCAATTCTAGTCCACACATTGCTAGTTCTAAACCCAACAAGGGTTTTTTACATGCACACTTGTTAATTCTTACTTTTACGTTAGTTCCTTGCTAGTTCTAAACCCAACAAGGGTTTTTTACATGCACACTTGTTAATTCTTACTTTTACGTTAGTTCTAGCTTCTATTACCCTAGTTCTAGTTGCACACTTGTTAATTCTTACTTTTACGTTAGTTCTAGCTTCTATTACCCTAGTTCTAGCTTGTATACATCCAATTCTAGCTCACACATTGCTAGTTTTAAACCCAACAAAGGTTTTTTACATGCATACTTGTTAATTCTTGCTTCTATGTTAGTTCTAGCTTCTATTACCCTAATTCTAGCTTGTATACAGTCAGTTCTAGCCCACATCTTGCTAGTTCTAAACCCAACAAGGGTTTTAGAACTGGCTGTATATAAGCTAGAATTAGGGTAATAGAAGCTAGAACTAACGTAGAAGCTAAAATTAACAAGTGTGGTTGTAAAAAACCCTTGTTGGGTTTAGAACTAGCAAGGTATGGGCAAGAACTGACTGTATACAAACTAGAACTAGGGTAATAGAAGCTAGAACTAAGATAGAAGTAAGAATTAATAAGTGTGCATGTAAAAAACCCTTGTTGGGTTTAGAACTAGCAATGTGTGGGCTAGAACTGGCTGTATACAAGCTAGAACTAGGGTAATAGAAGTTAGAACTAACGTAGAAGCTAGAATTAACAAGTGTGCATGTAAAGAACTCTTGTTGAGTTTAGAACTAGCAAGGTGTGGGCTAGAACTGGCTGTATACAAGCTAGAAGTAGGGTAATAGAAGCTAGAACTAACGTAGAAGCTAGAATTAACAAATTTGCTTGTAAAAAAACGCGGATTTGGTTTAGAACTAGTAAGGTGTGAGCTAGAACTGGCTGTATACAAGCTGGAACTAGGGTAATAGAGGCTAGAACTAACTCGAGGGCTACTAGAACTACGACGATAGCATCTAGAAATAACATATCATTAGGTATAACTATTATCAAATATAATTAACAACGATTTATAAAAACATGACTGTATCCTCATTTATAACAACAATTTATAACTACCGTCCCAACTTACAACGATTTTTGGTAATTAAATATTTTTTCAGCTTATTTTGCTAATTAAGTTTTAAAAATGGTCTATTTTAAAAATTTGTTCGAAATTAAAATACAAAAAGACTGTGCATATTAGGTTTATTGCAAATTCAGCTTCATCCAAAAAGACGTGGATGTCTCGTGAAAGTGGAAAAACTGGGACAACTTTTGACTATTTTTTAAAATTAAATCGTTCATTTATTTGTAGCTGGTCAAACATTTTTTTTCTTTTCTTCTTCTAGCTAATGGATTAATGCTCTGTGCGTCTTGACGGCGACGATCTAAATCGGGGGAGCGGTGGCGATCTACGGCGACGAGGACGGGTGGAGGAGGGGAGGGGAGACGACGGCGAACTCGAGGGGAGCCTTGGGGGCCTGAGTGGAGGCGGCAACGGCAAGGAGGGCGAGGGCTAGGTTGACGAGTTTGAGAAAACTCTTAGTTTTAGAGAGAGAGAGAGAGAGAGATGAGAGAGAGAGAGGAGATGAGAGAGAAATATGATATGATTGCTGGGTCTGAGAGATTGAGGAGAGAGGATAAGGATAATTTGGGGATTTTAGCTTAGCTGACATGTAATAATTGATAAAAAAAAGACTGCAGTACAAAATGTCACACATCAAGGAGCTGATTCACATGAGAAAAACTATAAGGGGCCTCGTCACATGAAGTTTTTACTTTTGGGGCATGTACACATTTTTCCCAAATATTTATGAGAAAACATTGTCATAAAAAGAGTCAATGGATTCTAACATCGATCACAACGCAGACCAGTTCAATTTTATGATAAGTCTGCTAGCTCTAAAGTTCACTGAGCATGAACAAACCTAAGTTTGGATATCGAACACAGCAAATGATGGATGAATTCATCTCTTTCCAGCTGAGTCTTTACATACCGCAAGCAGAATATGAATAAAATTTGATTTTATAAGCCAAAAAACTCTTATTCAAAGAAATAAAGATAAGAAAAGCCCGCAAATCTAAATAGTCCAAACTATAGAATTTCAAGAAAAAGTTTCCTTACTTCGTCCTCTGTCCAAAACTGTACTTGTGCAGGCAAATTAATTCACGGCAAAATTGAAGCATCGATTAACTACAAAAAATCTTAAGGGGATCCTAAAAAGAAATTTTTTTGCAGTTAGAGGAATTACCTAATTATTCACATGCACATACATGTATTACATACACACACACAACATACAAACCGATGCACACATGCGCAATGTCACATGTGCGCACACAAATGTACATTTGCCCGTGTATACACGAGCAAATAAAAAGAACAGAAGCATTATATAACTTAGTCCTACAATTTATTGTAACTTGTTCTAACTTTCATAGATTGATTCATCGCCTCAATTTATTTCACAACATATTACAACTATAGTTCTTCTTGTCACATCAAGATATGTGTATTAATATTGCCTAGAGGCTTGCAGCTGTAACTGGCCGGCGTTCTTGCTGCTTTAGAATGTCTGCAACATGAGCAATGACACCAGCGCCAGCATTGTGAAGCCACTCGCTCTTCACCTAAAATACAGGCCCTTATCTTATTGAGGAAGTATAAAAATAAAAAATAAAAAGTAAAAAAGGGCTAATTACAAATTCACCCCTTGTACGATTATAGTGTAGATACTTATGCGGTTATACCCCCTAAGCACCTATGCCCCCTAGATCTCAGACGACATTATTCCTTTTGCCATCAATTTAGAGGATAATTTAGTCCTTTTAAAAATAAACTGAGGGCAACATGTAATTTTTCTTCACGTGATGCCCAATGCACTTAAAACAAACGAAAAAATTAATGTCATCTGAAGTTTAGGGGCATAAGTGCTAATAAAATAAAAGGCAAATGAGATTAGTTCTAGTGTGTGAGAACCATACATGAATGTTGTTATGAGCAAAGAAGGGCCAAAATGCAGAGTGAAAACTGACATCGACTTTCTTCCATCCTACTCTCTGCAACCCCCGTATCATTTCCTCTGATTTTCATCTTACAACTGTTAATAGATGCAAATATTGCAAGAACGAGAAGAAGAAATAAGTCAATGGAAAACTGTACTTGGTTCTTTCAGCAGTACTTGCCTTCCATAATATCGTGATATTCTGTTGTGTTTTCAGTGTTTGGCACAGTTTGGGCAGCTTCCTTTATTTTGGCAGCTTCTGGGGGGAAATGAGGGCCTTCAGACGGTACAGGGGGACAATATTGTACATTTACAATATGCTTGTAACCATCCAATGATCGAAGAGGGGGCTGAAAATTAGAGAGGAAAAAATCACAGAAAAACACAACAGAATTAACATTAAGTCTGTAAGTTGTGAGCACAGAGCACAGTTACTTTGGAGGGGAAAAAAGGCCAATAGCAGGAACCTGAAAGTTTATAAAATGGAGTTATGTACTATTTAGCCCAGTAATGGTGGATCTGTACATACTTGCTATCAGTTTGAGTCAGGACACCACCATATACAAATGAAACTGGATTCTCTAGTGCTTCAATAATGGAACCAGGGTTAATTAGAATCCTACTGATAGGATTTGGGGCTTTCATCATCTCATTCCTAGACTATATATTGCGTAACTTAAATAGAAGACTTGCACTGTTAAACATGATATGAATCATTTTGACAGCCTAATAATTGATGCATAGTTGTGCATCAAGTGGTCATAAAAACCGGGGTCTTAAATGATGAGTCGCTTAGATCAACAATGCAGAATATTATAAACACCTAAAGTTTAGTGTTAGGGTTATATACTGTTTGGATCAACATCAAAATCAGTAGGTTCAATTATTACTTTAGAATCTCAGCTGGATAATTTTTCTCAACATACTATTTTAACCTGTTGTACAACTATAATGATAAAAGTCCACAAACCATGTAGTTTTTAGTGTAGCATGCTTATTTAATAGTTTAATTCATGTTTAACAGTTTGGTTTTTCTACATAAGTTACATAAGATATATTTTCTAATTGATAAGATCAAAATTCAAATCTTACAAGGTATGACTCTAGTGAAACGTGTATAGACACATGCCAATTCACACCCACACCCACATGTGTATAGGGTATACTGGATATGAGTTGTCAGCTCATTTAGGAAAATGAGCTATCGATGGATGTAAGTGATGAGGTTGACAATTTTTGATGGAACTATCATGATGGACCTCACCACTAGTCTATCTCTTGAAAATGAGCTGCCACCGCATACCCACTATTTGCATGCACACCCATGCACATGCAGGACAGCGTATCAATATCAGGGGAGGAAATTTCCTCTTATAACACCTACCCTCTACTCACCTCCATTGTTTAATAGTTTTAGGCATTTATTTTAGATAGTTATAGCTATCACCAGGCTTATATATACCATTTTAAATACTGGTGACCCTGGAGTTTTCTTTAGAAGGTAGCATGCCTTGGTCTAAAATTTTTGCTACCCCTGCAGCTTAAATTTATATTATACTTTCGTTTTATCACTTTGCATGGTTATCTTATAACACCTACACACTACTCACCTCCATTGTTTAACAGTTTTAGGCATCCATTTTAGATAGTTATAACTATCGCGATGCTTATATGTACCATTTTAAATACCGGTTAGGACCCTGGAGTTTCTCTAGGAGGTAGCATGCCTTAGTCTAAACTTTTTGCTAACCCTGCAGCTTTAATTTATATTATACTTTTGTTTTATCACTTTGAGTGGTTATCTAGGAAATAGGCAACACTTGTAAGATAGTCGGTTTTTCCTTGTTCATCAAAACGTGAAAGCTAATAGATGGAGCTAGCACCTTACTGCAATATAAGGTGGAAGAACCCATGATCTAAATCATGCGCCATGTCTTCAAGGAATAAATGGAAGGTGTCTTTTAACAAGAGCCTAAAATAAGTACATACAAAACCTAAGTATCGAGGAAAACTAACTATATTTTATAAACTGTCCATTTAGCAAGATGAAGCATCCTTTGTGCATATAGAGAGGTACATCTTGATCTGTGCAGATTTCTCATTTTTCATACTTCTTGACATCACGAAGTTTTGATCAACTAGCATTTCCCATTTATTGAGAAACTATCAATTAAATATTGTTGACTAAAGAACCCTGGTATGCTAAACTATCAACTAGCACTACCTATAAAGTTTTGATCAACTAGCATTTCCCAGTTATTGAGAAACTATCAATTAAATATTGTTGACTAAAGAACCCTGGTATGCTAAACTGTCGACCAGATATAGTTCAGAGATTTAACTGCAAGCTCAGAGTATATAAGAAGCCAAATACCTTGATAAGCTCAGATTCTCTCCTTATCGAAGATGTGCGCCAGCCAACCATATCTTACAGAAATCTCAAGAAAAACTGATGTGGAAAGAAAGGAGCTAACAAAATGAAGTACTGATAAAAGACGATTGCTCAGTACAACACATTACGTCATGAATCTTAGAATATAAGTCAAAGAAGGATACGATCATATGAAACATTAGCATAAAGAGTACAGCTTCTAAAAGCAGCGAGAGAAGATCTGCAATAAAGACCATGAGAGCCTAAAGTTAGTACCAGATAATATTACTCATCTAAAAGGTATATTCCCCTTCCTACTTACATAAACATTTTATCTTCATAATCTGATGTCATTCTTAGGAGAAGGGGAGGCTTGCTTGGTTTACCATCTGTAAGAAACAGTTGACGACCAGTTCGACCAATTAATATGGGAGCTATAGGTGGAGCGAGTTTTTCCAAGATAGGTACTCCCAAGAGAAATGGAAGCTGAAAAATAAAATACAAGAAGCATATATTCAAAATTTCACTGTTTGGTTCAGTGGAGCTGAAAACCATTTCCAGAACCAACTATGAGCACTCTTATCAAATAAAATATTAGCAAGACTGCAATGCACAGATTTTCTAGTACATGCATAAGTACAGTTGTCATCTTTCGTCCCAGAATTAACACCTCATTCGGTACGTTGGGAATGAGATGAAATAGAATGTCCATTCTTCCTTCCCACTCATGCGTACCAAACATACCATGAAATGCCCATTCCCACTTCTAATCCAACCCACACATTGTAGGAATTGGCATTCCCATTGAGATAGTAGGGAATGGGCATTCCCACATAAGTGCGAATCAAAAAAATAAACCCGATTCCAAATATACCTTTTTCAGAGATATGAACAGGATCTGATATGTTTACCCTTTTAAAAGATACGAACATGATTTTTTTTCTCGTTGTTCAGCTCTAGTTCCTCATCATTCTTATTGGAACGCCTTGCCTTCACTTTTCCTCTTTCGTCCAGCCACCCAGCGACAGGCAAATACCTCGTCATCAATCCTAGGTAATTGAGGGATTTATTTTTTTTCAAAATATAGATGTGTGGTTTCAATTCTTGTTAATAATAGTATAGATTTTATTAAGCAGCACACACTAAGTTAGGGTTCTAAGGGCACTGTAGATCATTATGAAACAGCCTTTATCCTGAGTTCATGTTTTTAACTAGAATGAACTTTGCCTATGTTAAGATTGTTTCTTATGTGTCTTTGATGTTTCTTAGAGGATACTTGATAGCTCTTCTTTTTATTCTATTTAATATTAATATTTGTATTATTGAGTTGTTTCACTTTGTAGTTACACATGGCTAGTCAAGTTTATTTTCTTTCTACTGATATTAACAAATCATGAAACAAAGAAACTTGTATAGGACATCCTTTTGATAGAATTTCAGTGGGAATTTTTTCTATGTATGGCTTCGAGAGCTTAATTTGGATTTAACACCCAATAGTTTTCCCTACTTTGCACTTATATACCCTCATTTGAGTTACATCACTTGCATATGCTAGATAATATACATTTTTTCCTTTTGGGTGAGATATCTTGACTGCATAAGTGTAAAGATTGGAGTTTTGAATCAATCAAAGAGCATATCTATTTAATTCTGGTTCTAGAACCAGTAGTTCTAGGGATCGGCTCAGCTCTCTCAACCTGTTTTTCATTATTAAGAAAAAGTAACAAAGATAAAATACGAGCTTGTTTTATAGCAAAAGTAATTAATCGTTATTGTTTCAAGGTCAATCTATTCACCATTCTAGATAATATTTTTCATGTTCACTAATAAATCGACTAATTAAACTCATGTTTCTATAATCAATTCGATCCCCCAATTCAATTGGGGGAAAACCCCTACGAAAAGATCGCTTGGATTTATCCATGGTTTATTTCATATCTCTAAAAGTCTATTTCTTTATTCAAATCCAACTCAAATAGGTTTTATTTGTATTTGTATAATATCACAAACACACACACGCACACACATGCACACACACACACAAAAACACATACATACACACACACAAATATGTTTATATGTTAAGGTTAGTTTTAGAATGTAAACACTTTTAATACATAAAATATGTGTGAATCTAAAGCTAAGCTCAACCATGTCTTATACTGTAAAACCCCAAAAATTTTGAAAATATTATTATAAATGATAATAAATGAGTTTTATTATGATTGGTGATCATTCTGGGATGAATGGATCAGATTGGAATTAATTTGAGATCGATTCGTAGTTTCAACCCCGATATCGCGAGTCTATTGAAAACTGATACTATTTTATTTTTAGAAATTTTTCTATTGATCAGATGGGCACGGAATTTACACCATTGATCTTAGAATATCAAGACCATGTTGTGGATAAAGTTTCATTGCATTTTGACAACGGAGACTAAAATACTATTTTGAGACGGTATCGCGTTTACTGACATCTATCGTATTTGTATTTTTAATAATTTTTCTGTTGATCAGATGGACATAAGGATAACACCATTGGTCTTAGAATGTTGAGACTAGGGGTGCTAAACCGTATCCGTATCCGAAAAAATATCCGTAACCGTATCCGTTAGGATACGAATATAGTTACTTAAATCTATAACCGATAGGATATGGTTACGGATATGGTTTTGTAGTGAAACATCTGTATCTGTATCCGAAATATCCGAATACATATTAGTCATACTCTTACGATAGTTTTGATTCTTAGATCATGGATTTGTGGTTAATTTTGATGATCGAGATGTCTAATTTTAACTTTTCAATTATAATGGACATATTAACGAACTCTTTTGTATCACATGAACTATGTTTTTCTCAATACTATATAGTTTTTTCACATCCGTTTATATATCCGCATGTATATCCGTAATCGTATCCGATTTTAGCGGATATGGTTATAAATTTTTCTTATCGATGTATATCCGTATCCGTATCCGAGATGGGCAAGCGGATATGGATATGATAAGCATCATATCCGAGCCGCATTCACTAACCCCCGCCCTGTGCCACTAACCATTTAGATTATTATTATTATTATTATTTGTTATAAAAAGGGGACGGGGAGAGTTATGGGAACAACGAAGAGAAAGACAGAGAGAGAAAGAGGAAAGAGAAAGAGAAAGAGAGAGAGAGAGAAAGAGAAGGAGAGAGAGACAGAGAGGAAGAAAAGAGAGGAAGAAAAGAGAGGAAAAGAGGGAGGGGATTTTGGCAATTCGAAGAACAGGAACGGATAGGAATTTTAATTTCAGAGATCAATAAAGGCAAATTTCAATCCACCATTTTGTTTCTGTATACCATCCCCGGTGAATAGACTAACTATGGACAAGAATTTAGTAAAAATAAAGACTAGACTTCACTTAGCTACTTAGACAAATACATATGTATGTATCTACCATTTATGTAGGACCCATAGCTAATAAAAAGATGTTTTTCCTCCAAAAAAGCAGTCTCTAAAAGTACATATGCCTAATGTATCTTCCCTGGTGAATATACTAACTATGAACAAGAATTTAGTAAAAATAACGACCAGATTTCACTTATCTACTTAGACAAACACATACGTATGTATCTACTACTTGTGTAGGACCCATAGTTAATAAAAAGACTTTTTTGTCTCCAAAAAAGTAGAGTCTATTGAAAGTACATATGCCTAATATATAATCACAGTAATGAACAACAGATAATTAGCTAGCCATCAACATAGTTTCTCGCATTAAGGTGCTATTCTTGATTTAGTCCTTTCGTAATAAATATTCACTCCTTAATAAACAATCACACTACTAATTTATTGTGCAAGGTGCCAATGATTGTTTGCATATGCCGACACATGGGGCAAGTTTTGTTCTCAATGAGTTATCGAGTAACGCATCTCCAATGAACGACGTGACCAGGAGAAATTTCCCTTCTTTCGACCATCTAGGCTCAATCTGTTCTAAGCAAACAAAGCACTCACTTTTATCGTCGTTGTCATCTTTCTTATCTCTCCATCTTCGATGAGTTGTAGTGTTCATCTATTCAGTGAATTCCATAGTCTTATTATTCCTCACCCACTAATCAATAGAAGAGAACAAATTTGTTGTGACATCATGTTCAGTCTCGAGGGCTTCTTGCACATCCTGAAGGAATTCACTTATATTTGCCTTCAATTTAGTCTCAAGGGCTTCTTGCACATCCTGAAAGAATTCACTTATATTTGCCTTTAACTTGTAATGTTCATGCTCCATAGGAAATTCAGAACTCACCACTTCATAAGCAGTGTCAGATTGATATGAGGTTTAATGCCTTGCAACTCAAGCGACCGCTGACAGACTTGTAAGTGAGAAAACAATGGAAGACGTAAACATAGTATTGTTCATCAGTTACTGGGATATGGACTTTGGTAGTCATCCATGTAGAAATTCACGTGGAGGATACTATTACCGACAGCCCCGAAAGCAAATGGTCATAGGACAAAACTAAGAGGCGACAAAGACCTAATTGGAGAAGCTTCATGGGGTCTCGATAATTCTCTTCTTATTCGCGAGTTCATGGGGAAGGCAAAGAAATTTAATGGAAGAATTTAAAACACTGAAGGTTTCAGAGCCTCGGCCTCAACGATAGCTCGTTGCTGATGAGCCATAAAGGGATGCAGGAGGGATTTGAGATAACATTTTGGATGGGAGTTTGAGGGGTTTTAGAGATCAGGCTTTTTTTAAGGAAAGAGATTAGTTTGAAGATTCATAAAAGCATAATATTGGATCACAATTTTTTTCACAATACTTGGCACATGCCATTGTGCAAAGTAGCGTATTCTTAATGCGCATTAAGATTTTCTTTCTTACTATTTAACATTATTATGCATTTATTTATTTAATTATTGTTTTTTTAGGATGTGCAGGTGTTTGTATGTGGAGGATGCATACCAAGATGTAGTCACGTTTTATGAGCGTTGCGTAGCAGTTTGCACATGAGCTAGCCCAGAGCATTCAAAGTTTCATGTGTGGGATGTGTGGTGGATCGGTAAGCTGCGTGATGCGCAATTAGATGCGAGAGATCTTTTTCTCTTCTTTATCATCTATCTCTATAATCCACTTTTTATCCCACAACCAACAGTGAGGATTCCTCTATCTGCTACAACAAAACCCAATTGTCTATTGAATGAGAAAATCTACTGCATATTTAGGAAATGAGCTTGTTAGGTCTAGCTAATTGTTTAAGGATGATTTAGATGAAGTGACTTTGACTAAGAAGAGAGAGATTTACTGAACATGTAATGGACATGAATTTAAGCATGGATCAATGTTTTAGGGCAATAGGGATGATTCGTAGTAACTACAATTTGCTAGATTTGTTCATCATACTCGGTGATGATTTTAAGGAGACATGGGTGAGACAATATGCAAGCGGGTAATCTTAGGTTGGCAATTTGGAGTTAAAGGCTAGGTTATCATATTTCTATTATAGAACTTATTATTTTAATATAGTGGCGGTTGTTTAAGTATTTAGTTGATATTGTTTTATAGATATTTTGATTGGGATTTGGTGATTTTGATAATTTGTCGAATAGGTCATTTTATATATCTAGAATTTTGAATTGTGGATATCATTGCTTATACTAATTTGGGACCTATGAATGATGTAGTACACTTTCATTTATTTTTCCTTAATTTTTTGTTAATTACAAATTAAAAATATTCTTGATAAGAATACAAGTAAATTTGAGTATACATTCCACAAAGAGGGTGAAAAAAGTGAACTCAATCATGTTATTTGCCATTTTTGTTCTACAAATGGATATTGCTAATGCAATAAGAGTATTGTAAAAAGCGGCAAATCGCGCCGCTATAGCGCCGCGGATCGCGGTCGCGGGGCTTCACCACGCTGCTTAAGGTGATTGCGAGGTGTTTAGACAGAGAAAACCGCCTTTCGCTCGAAAAGCGCGGAATAGCATGTTTTAGCGCTTAAAAACGCTAAAACCCGCTACAATGGATCTTAATTCTCTCCCTGAACCCGACCCTTACCCATTTCACATAAACCCCTCTCGCCTCTAATTCCCGAACCCAACTATCCCCTAGCCGCCGCTCTCTCATGACTTGCCTCTCTCTTTCACAGTCTCCGGGTGACGACTTCCAGCGTCGCCAACGCCGTCTCCGCGTCAACGTCGACTCCCACCACCAGCAGCACCTCCGGTCAAAGCCATCTCTCTCTCCGGTCAGCCCATCTCTCTTTCACGGCTCTCCGACGACAACTTCCAGCGCCCGTACAACGAGCCCAGTCAACGCCGCCTCCCGCACCAACAACACCTCTGGAGTCCGATGAAGCCCATCTCTCTCTCTCTCTCTCCGGTCAACCCATCTTAGCATCTCTCTTTCACGGTCCTCCGGCAATGACTCACCTTTCTCTCTCACTTCCTCCGACGACACCAAAACTTCCCTCCACAATAGCCACAAAGTAAATTATAGTACTTTGTTAATATTATGTAATTATTACACATCTATTTCATGTTTAGGCATCAATTATGCATCTATAGAGTTATTAGATTTTGTATATGATTTTTCTTATTATTTAGAATATTTAAATATATTTATATTTGACCGCTATTTGACTGTGCGCTATTTGTCACTATTTCGCTACAATAGCCCCAAATAGTCTTAGCGGTACCTCGTCGCGACACGCCACTATACGCTATCAGCAACCTTGGCCAATAGCTAGCTTGTCATTTATCTTGCTTGAAACTAAAGAAAAATGAGCATTTTGGGCTTTCGTGTTTTTAATTTAAACTTTTTGAGCGGAAATCAAAGTTCTTTCTGTGTTTTAAGAGTCTTCTATATGCAGAACAAGCTTTTAATAATGTTTATCCTGCTAAAAAGTCAATTTTGTGTAGCATATGAACCAACATGCATATGTATGAACTTTTGATTTTGATGTTTTTCCTTATACTTGCAAGTACATGGAAAAACATCGAATGTTAAGACTGAAACATGAAATATTGACTTTTTTTGTCAAGCTTTATTTTTTAAAAGAATGGAATTATTTAGTTATTATCATTACTATTTTTGTCGTTTTAAAATTCTATGTTGTTGTAACAGCATTATTAGAAAACAAAATTTCATTCTCATTTGTGAATGAATAAATGATACCAAACATGGGAATGGGGATAGATTGTCATTCCCGTTTTATTATACAAACACACCCAAACATGTAAATGTGAATGGGCATTCCATTTCCTCATTCATTCCATTTCATTCCTCCCTCCACTCCATTCTCACTTACCTCCATTCTTGCATACCAAGCAAGGCATAAGCGCTTGCCTATATAGACCCTTTTCGCCATTCTCTAAAAGAAGTTGAGTGGTTATTGTGATCTTAGCTAAAAAACTTGTGCCTGCAAAGAACATGGTCCCCTCGAATAAAATAGAATCAACCACTTAACTAAGACTTTCTTGTTTGGCTGTAACTGTGATTTACTTTCAAGATTAGAAACAGTAGTAAATGTCTTTAATCTCTATTTTACTGCTTAAGGTGAAGCTTCACTCTACTACCTTTAATAACAATTGTTGGATAACTACCTCTTTAACCACTTTGATCATATTTTCCCTCAGATCTCTTGTACAACTCGAATAGAGGACAGAGACAAAAATGGTGAAAGTAGGGAAGAACTGACGGTTGTAACCAAAGTTCTCATCAAAATGCATATGAAAATGCAAGATTTATTGGCTTTTGCATATTGAGCGGCGATTGTTCTGCTATTACACTTTTTCCAACGTGTTCATTTGTTCTTTGTTTATGATTGAGGATTGAGATCGCCAGTAAACAACATGTCTCAATGCAAACCTTCTTCATAGGCTACAGTCCATAATGCACGTGCAAAAAGAAAAAAAAAGAAAAAAATCTAACTACTTTGCATTACTGACCCTTGCAGGATATTAAAGAGACAGACTATTTGGCAGTCTTTCGAGCGTCTTCTTTAGCTCAAGTTAGTCTTCTTCATTGGTTCATGCTGGTCACTATTCGAGTTCCTTGCTCATTTTGGAAATTGATCGAGTCTTGCTTGACAAAACCATTCCCACATTTATCTTGAGTTCTTGCGGCATTTGAACATGATGAATGTGATATACTATTCTTTAATCTCATGATTTGCTCCATGGCCTTCCTCTACGCTATTGGGGTCGAGTTCTTTATTTGTGGAGATATTTGCCTTATTTTCTCATTGATTTTATATAAATTCTTTGCAGTGTCTTCCTTGGGTTTGAATATTGGGGGTGGGCTGGGTTAACTGTATGATCAATAATTTTGTTGTGTAGCAGTTAAAATGATACATTGGTCAGTGGAAACATTTATGCCATGAAGATCAAGGTACTACTACAGTAAAAAAATAAATCAGAAAGCTTAAATTTCAAATCAGAGCTTGAATAAGTCATCCCGGGGTAAATGAGAGAAGATAAAAAAAATACCATGCTATTATCATTTATCATTTAACAATTAACAAGGAAGCTTAGAAATGAACATTAAAGCTTACCTGTTTCTTTCCTCTGACTCCTAAATGTGGGGTTGCCAAGGTAATAAAATTAATGGGTTCCAACCCTGCAATTTTCCCTGATCAAGAAGATATTTTAGAATTGCTTTCTATTGCTATGAAATTAAAATTTTGAATTAATATGATTGCAGGCTTACCAGTATCCGATGAATAAAGCATAGCCATAGCGTATCTTGCAAACAACCCACCCAAAGAATGTGCTAAAACAGATATCCTTTTTAGGCTTTCTGTTGTCTTCACCACACTCAAAATCTTTGCAAAAAGATGAACGAATGTGACATTACTCTCAGGCTCTCAGCATAAAGCTAACATATACAAAAAGGCACTTTAGATAATAAATATTTACCACATACTTCATCTGCTAGGCGCCTTCCAGCTCCGTCGATTCCACTAAAGGTTTTCGTATAGCTATTGGATGAACTTGCTGAACAACACACAGTAAAGAAGACTATAAGGATAAAAGTTAAAAGAAAAGAACAATCAAACTTAAAGCTAAGTTAGAATAATGCAGCATAATATTATGCAGTGTAACAGCTGTTAATGGTGTGAAGTCAAACATTTAAGATACTTCATATATAATGCATGTGGCGTACCGTAGATTAAGAAATTTCTCCCCAGTTGTCTTTTCAACTCAGCATCTGCATATGTCCAGTCACTAGGACTGCAAAATTTAAATCAGCAAAAGAGAACTTCAATTTGGGAGATTTTCACAGCAAAGAAAACTAGTAAACTGGCGAAAAGAAGAAACTCAGCCAGTGACCAGTATGAATACAATTTAATTAATCAATCATGTTGGAAATGAAAATAAGAAATAATAGAATGTTTTAAGACTTGTACCAAGTTCAATAGAAGAGAGACAGCTTATTTCTAAAGTAACAGGGAAAAAAAGGTTTTAAAGCAAGATCAATCTGCTTACATATAATTATGTGCTAAACAGTACTGATCAATTATCAATTTGAGAACCTATAACCTAACAAAAAATTGTTACTTCGTACAAATTTTGAAGAAGCAAATGCAATTTTTAGAGAGATATTCGAGATGAAGTCCGATGGTATATGTTATTTGTCGATAATATAGTATTAGTTGACGAGACTCAAGAGAGTATAATATCTAAAGTATAAAGGTGGAGACAAGCCCTCAAAGACTAAAGGTTTTAGAATCAGTAGAACAAAAACAAAATACATGGAATGCATATTTAGTAAAACTAAAATGCGAAAAGAGGCTATAATACATCTTGATGGCCAAGAAACACTTAAAGTAACCACTTACGTTATTTGGGATCAATCATTCGTCATGATGGTGAATCATGATGGTGAGATGGAGGATGATGCTGTCTATTGAATCAAATCAGGATGATCAAAGTGGAGAAGTGCTTGGAGAGTCTTATGTGATCGTAGACTACCTATGAATTCTATAGGATAGTTATAAGACCAATAATGATTTATGGGTCGAAATGTTGGGCAATTAAGAAACAATATGTGCAAAAAATGAGCGTAGCAAAAATGAGAATGTTATGATGGTCTTGTGGGTATACACTAAAAGATATGATAAGAAAGTTCATCTGTAGTAAATAAGATGTTACTCCAATTAATAATAAAATGAGAGAGAATAGACTAAGGTGGTTTTGTCATGTATAACAGAGACCTCTTAGTGCACCGGTTAAGAAACGTGATAATATTGTAGTTATAGTTAATGGAAAATAGAGATCTTGAGGTAGACCTAAGGATGTGATAATGGTTAATTTAATAGAGGAGATGGCCCATAATAGAACGGAATGGAAGAATAGGATTCATATAGTCAACCCCATGATAAAGACATTATTGTTGTCGCTACTGCTTCTGTTGTTGATCATAAAGATCTGTTTATATTTTCTTACTGGCTTTCTCTTACTTATACGACAACAAGATGGAACTTTTCAAAAGAACCACCACCACTCCACATGCACATATGAAAAACAGAATAACAAAGTCCCCCAGTCCGATCTTACATCCTTAAATTCCAATCTTCAATCCATATGACCTACCAACTGATGCAGAGGTAATTGATTTGTTTAGATTTATTTTGGCTTCCTTGATGAAACTATATAGTCATCTGTCTAAATTCAAACCCATGTCATTAGCTTGTACTAAAACACGAGTCTTATTCCTTTCAAGAACACAATGCACAAGAACTTGTATATCTACTTTGTTTAGCCTATTAGAGCATAATTAAAAATCTTTAGCTTTATTCTCTCAAGTATTCTCAGATCCTTTTATATTATCACAATTTCAGGAATGAAAGCTTTGCACTAAGCCACTAACATATATCTCCACCTTTCAAAGTTCTCTCTCGCATACACACATGCCCACACAATCCACACCCAAAATAATACACAAAAGAATAAATATAAGATAAGATAATAAGATTAATGAAAGTAAGGAGAGAAGCCAAAACACATGCATATGCATAAAACCCACAACTTTAGTACAAGTGCATCCCAACTGCACTGCCCCAAGAATAACAAAAGGATAAAAATCTGAAGTAGGCCACAGGTGCGATAAGCATCTATTTGGTGCTAAATGGTTCAGCCATCAGATGTTTCACATGTACACATTTCCTTCTGCTCGTGATGTAAAGAGAAGAAGTAAGGAGTTCAAATCCCCACAAGATAAATATTAGGTGTCAAATTTTCAATCTCTCGACATATCACACATTCAGTAGAAACATAGGTCAAATCCCTTGTCTCATTAGTGTAATTAGACTCAACTGATATCTATAAAAGAAAACACATTGACTTAGAAAACACTCATATGTAGTGGAAACTATGACATGACTGGCACATTATTTTTAAATTCAATTTATTTTTAATCATCTGAGCACAATCCCAGAACATGAAATTTGCAGAAATTTTAACTGCAGGCAGACCATCAAGCATCCACAAAACCAATGTGAATGCTCATTGTGCACTATGTCAAGAGGGCAGAACCATTTCTTCATGAACTTAAGCTTGTGAATATCTAGAGAATGACCATATAAGTATATATTAATAGTTTATGCCTGAACATGAAAATTGAAACTTCACTAACAGTACTTAGAACATAATATCCAAAGTTTAGCAATATCATTTTTCCTATTTCATTTTCACTTCATACTGTCTCTTAGATGGTTAAGAAAAAGTCAACATACCTAGCCAAGATGCCATGAACAAGAACAAGGAGATGATCAGGTGCATACTTGGAATCAGACATGTTCTTGGATGTTACAGAACTTTCACATGTTGTACTCATTGGTTTTAGTCGAGAATGCAGGCAGCTACCAATTATGCTCAAGCCTGCAAATAGAGCCCGCTGAATATATAAGAAAAAAGGGCATGCTATGGATCCAAAATACGAAACAGATTCTCTGATATAGGAGTTCAGGGATGAATAAGGTGCATAGAATATGCACATATTATTATGTGAAGAGGTAAAGGTTATACAATCCAGATTCTAAAAGAGATCATATTGCCAAAAGTTTTACCATTAGCAGCTTTCCTATTTGAAAATCCACAATATAAGGAAACTCAAGGTCTTTATTGATTTTAAGTTAAAGGTATAGCTGCTTATTGAGATACTTTGCTAATTTTTAGAGTTCTATAAGTGAACAAGGACAAAGTGATAAATGACTGGGGAAGGTTAATGGGTTTATAGCTACATGCATATTTGTTTCAGGTTGTAGAGTCTGATCTTACTGAAAATACAGATCCAACCACATTTTGGGTGGAATACTGTGCAGGGAGATAGAGAACAAGCCATAATTTGGGAAGCCCAGTAAGAGCAGAGGGTGCAAGTTCCATAAGAATGTACTGTTAAGGAATGGACATTTGCTAAAATGGTTGTGATTGCAATGAGTACCGTTAATTCTACATGCTATCATGGATCATCTGAAGCTAGCTTAACCACAAGAGAAAGAACCAAAGTTATCTTATTCGTTAGATTAATATTAGTAGTTTCTAGATGAGGATGCTAGGAGAATTGTGATTAGGTAGTTAGTCAAAATTCTCATTATAAGACGGATTGTTAGGATGATTGAGATTTAATTATTTTGCGTAGATTAGGATTCCTGGTAAGTTTGCCATGGAAATAGTTATAAACAAGGGCCTGATGAATGTAAGTGATATTTTTCCCTATATTTTATGTCTAGTTTGATAAATTTAGTTTTCTTGCTCTCCCGCTGTCATTAGGGTCCCAAGTGTTCTTTTTCATTCTCTATTAAGTTTTGCAACAGAACAGCAGCCTATATCTATACAACTAAATTGGAGGATGTTTGTCCATGTTGGGAACAGCATAATAGACAACCTGATTACTGTTTATGTATAAAAAATCTGAAATAAGAGGTATTGTGGGTTCCAACTTTGGTAGGTGGACAGACACACATGGAATGTGAGGAAAATAAACTATCCATGCAACCATTAAGACCTGCTGCAGCTGCTATGCAGAGGTGTGGAGGGAATCTAAATATATTTTAAATTTACTGGAGAATAAAGTATTATTGGGCAATATAGTGGCACTGCTCAAAATTTATGAGGAAACATAAAAACACCATGCCCATGAAGGAAAATTCAAACAGAATCATTGAAGCTCATAGCTAACAGTATGTGATTAAAAGTAAAAAACATGTAACTATACAAGCAACAGATGAACAGTAATGCAAGAAGCAACATGATACAAAATGGAGCCTGGAAGTTATTGTTAAGAATGAAATCACATTTATAGGTTGAAGGACATCTAAAATCAAGTTGTTATGGACCTTCTTGGTTCAAGTCAAGATTTAAATCTACTATATCATATGCTTCTTGTCAACTATTAAAGATGGAGGTGCATGTGAACTATGAAGCACCGACACGCGAAACTTGACCTGAGTCCGTGTCCGACGCATGTCCGACGCGGACACACGTTCAACACGGGTTCGACACGCGTCGGACACGCGGTCAACGCCCCCGACACGCGTCAACACCCCGACACGCCCCCGACTCGTTCCCGACACAGCTGGGATTCGCGAACAAAAAGGAAAAACCCGAAACCCAAACCCAAACTCTAATTTCTTCACTTACCAGAGTCCCGACGCCACCACAATCCCTTCGTCCTCGTCCTTGTCCTCGTCGACTCGTCGCTACTAGGCCAGTCTCTCTCTCTCTCCCGATCTCTTCGTCTCTCTCTCCCGATCTCTCGATCTCTTCGTCTCTCTCTGGATCTCTTCGTCTCTCTCTCTCTCTCTCTCTCTCTCTCTCTCTCTCTCTTTCTCTCTAAAATGTTTATATACATGATGAAGGAGTTGAAGCTATAGAACGATCTTTTTGATGTTTCAACTTGAAAATTTTATTTTAAGATACGTTTTTGGTTGTAATTTTTATATTTTTGCAATGTTAGTAACTTAATATTTTGTAGCCATGGAACTAGTTACAACTTGATCTTTATTCTCTTGTAATTTTTATATGTTTGTAATGTTAGACTTGTTAGTAGCTTAGTATTTTGTGTTTGAGGATTACATTTTAGTTTGTTGTTTGAATTTATAAATTTATCTATATATAATAATAATATTAAAAAAAATCTAGTCGTGTCATCGTGTCCTATTTTTTTGGGTTTTGTCGTGTCCGTGTTCGTGTCGTGTCCGTGTCGCCGTGTCCGTGCACATGCTTCATAGCATGTGAATGCTGATTGACACAGCACACATCTACTGGGAAAAGGGAGAAAGCTATAGTCTGTGGCACATTGCAGAGGAAAGTTTTCAAACCATGTCATGAAATTGAGAATTCTAAAATGGCATTATAACCAAAAGTTACAATTTAAGCATCAAGAAAAAGCAAAGTTCCTGATACGGGCAAATGTAAAGTTTGATATATAACAAGCAGAAGAGTTCTTTGAACAAGTAATAAGTAGAAAATTTCTTTAACCAAAAAAGCACAAGAAAACTTTTCAAATGTCAAAACAAGATGTGGTACTCTTTGAAGTTATGAAGATTGAAAGCTAGGATCTGAAATCTAACAAAAAGAAAAAAATATGGCCATTAAAAGTTTTGGAAGTTCAGAGGTTATAAAGCAGAAATAGTTTCCAAGTTGTGCTGTGGATTTAGAAATATTAACAGTTACGATTGGTCCATATGCAGTATAGCTCATAATGAATTATCTATGTAGTTACGCCTTTGCAGTACATGATATTCAGAATTTGGTACTTAGGCAAGCTTTAAAAACTAGGTGATATAAAATTACAAATACATATAGGCAGTATAAAAATAGAACCATGCTGATCTAGTTCAGCTAATACCTTTGATATTGACTAATGACAACTAACACAGGATAGACCCAGGTTTGAAATAACAAAAGTTAATTGGATGGTATTTTATTCGGAAAAAGAATTTAATATATCAATAAATAAAAAGCTTGAATGGTTGAATTTGACATATTTAATATAAAGGTTAAAGGAACAAAATACAATTCAACTATTCTGATCAAAGTTGCAGATACCTCTGAACTCTGGTATTGACATCAAAAAGATGAACCAGGCTTGGTGTTGACTTACTGGCGAACTAAAATTTCAACAATTTGACTTTTCAAAAGAATCAAAGCTATCAGTTGAAATTATTTCCAGCTTAACCTACAAGAATGCGCCTGTTTATTGATGTCAACCTTGTGGATCAACATATGATAAATTGAAGTCTGATACCTATTATTACCACCTCTCAAAACCATATCTTTTGGTTGGTTTATAGCCAAGGATACTATGGCCAATGGGGAAGCAAGGGGATTACTGTGGACAAAGAACTGGAAAAGACACAGACTTCAATACGGATAACTTGAAAAATGCTATGTACAGGTGAAGCAGAATACTTCAGGCAATATAGCACAACAGGATAAGGTTTAGAGCCTTTTCAAAGTAAACATTCCTAATCATTAACAAGAACATAGTTTTTAAACTTTTATCTATTAAAATACCCCTTAAATTTGGCTTTTTTGCGATAACCCCCAAAACGTTTTAAATTCACCTAATCCCCTTAAGTTTTATACGATAGCCCCCACAAACTAACATTGTTAGATCTGACTGCACATTTGAAAAACACTTTTTGATCCTTTGTAATCATTTTAACCCCGGAACGCATTTTCCATCATTCATTCTCGTTTTCGCCCAGGTTAGAGGACTTGATCCCCATTACTTTTTGCTAATTTTTTATTGGGCGTATTGTCAACCAATCAAAAATGGGTCTAACGCAGTTAAGGAGCTTACTTACAAAACTTGAAGACGTTTTGAGGGTTTTGTGAGAAGCATGGAAATTAATGGGGGTTATGCGGCTTAAGTGACATTAATAAATTTTAGGGGGTTATCTCAAAAATGGCCGAACTTAGAGGGGGGTATTGTAAAAATTACCCTAAAAATATAAGAGTTAACTGCTTAAAGTGTTTACGAAGGGAACAAAAAATACATTCTTAGTAGGAAAAATATAGGAAGAGAATCAGAAAGGTCAACAAATTGACTTTTTGACATAGAAAAGCAACTAGCAAGTTAGCAAATATACTTTTTTCCATTTGAAGGGAGTCACTCTATACATCATAAGGAGAAAGAATGCGATAAAATTTAATAAATAAGTTGAATATGTCAACGAACAATTAACTACTCTTCTAATACCATCCTATGTCAAGTGAAAACATCTACTGCTGGGGTTTGAAGCATAAGGTAGTATTTTTATAAGAAGAGGATTTGTCAATGGGAAGGAGCAATCTGTAAGTTGTGTAGAGAGGAACATGGAGATGTTGACCATATTCATTTAAAAGAATGTAAACTTCTGATTGCTGACATTTTCTAGTTATGAAGAACACCCTTAACATAATGATTCGCATGGCATGTGATCATGAATAATAAATTGTGTTACTCAATAACAAAACTCCACAAATTCCCACTTGCATGACCAAGAAATGATGGAAATCAATTATGTCCTCTAAATGCTCACAAGTAGCTCGAATTGTTGTGGTCTCAATTCTCAAATATAGTGACCCATAGATACTAGACTGAGACCATTTTCAACCCAAGAAGAACAAGTCTTGCACTACTCTATCTTTCTGATGTGGGACCAAACCCGGAGACAAAATCCTATTTTGAAAAAAATCCTATTTTGAATGGGTACTCAAATGAACGTTCAAAACCCGAACTTATAAGGAAACCATTGTGACTTAGTTGGAATGAAATCACATAATTTAACTTTCAAGTCTGAGCATATTCCACGTTGAATAAAACACTTGTATGACCAATAAATGACTACTGACAATTTAGATGCCTACTCAAAGTAGTATGTTTTGTGGTCTTAAGAATGAACGATTCTAAACTAGAGAAGTAACCAATGAACCTCATCCATTAATTGTACATTAAAGGATGTCAACCTTGGATCAACACTAGTCGCTAAATCCATTAACCCAAGAGTAAATATACATCTGATGCAACATTAATGCAATGGACTGGGACCTGTCATACTTTTTCTTAGATTGCACTCAAGATATTGTACTACAAAATTCAACATTTGTACCGTAAAAAACAGGGCATCAGAGACCCAACAATTTACTGCTACTGAAAACATGGTCACTAATTCCTCATTTGATTGAAGTCACACCATTCAATTTTCATGGCCAACTGGAATAAACATATTGAAACACCAATCACTCAGAATGAGAAAGGAATAAAACAACCATGAACTTACAGCGTGTTTTGGAGATGACTTAGGGAAGGGAAGGAAGGTTCATTACACCCCAATTTGGAGTGTAAGAATTTGGCTCAAATTTTCCCCCCATTCCCCCTTCTCTACCCGTCTAAATGGAACTCCCAAACAATGTTAAAATTAGATTTCTCTTCACCTCTTCCTCCCTACCCTCCATCCAAACAAGCTAGGGAAAAAATTCACATAAAAACTTTGCTGCTACGTATAATAATAGTAATAAAATTCATGATAAGTTATTAAAATTCAAGAAATTGCATTCAACAACCTAAACTAAATATAAATCTGGACATAACCAACCGACTTTGCAACAAAATGCGCGTTTCCTCAGCGGGAAACAAATCGAGTTCCAACAGGTAGAAATTAACCTAATCACTAGCCACCGGATCCAAATCCACATCACGATAAAACACAAAAAAAAATGCGAAAAATCGAAATAACGGGGAGGGAGGGAGGGGGAGAGAGAGAACCTGAGAAGTTGGAGAAGAAGCAGAAACGCTTGAGATCGAAAGGAGCTCCGAATCTATCGGAGGCGGAGAACGAGAGGGGTGAGCACACGTGTCCACATCCCGCTCCATGGTCGATTCGATAGGAGAAATAGCGACTTTTATAGCAAGAGGAATGGGCGAGGGATGGAGAGCACGCCATCCAAGAAACGATGACGATGACGATGATGTGAGAATTTGCTGTTTTTAGAAATTTTGATTTTTTGTTTCTTTTTGCCGGCTTTTTGCGTGTTTGGTGCGATCTCTCACGGCATCATCACCATCATCGCCGTTGCGTATCTTACCATCATCGCCGTTGCGTATCTTGCCCGGCGCTTGTTGGGCTTTATGTTGCGGGGAGTACAAAAGCGGGAGCCGCGCCAGAAACGAGAGTTGGATATTGTGGATGTTTGTCAGGCTTATTTCACTTTGGTACCCAGAGTTTACTCATCTTGTCACTTAGAGGTTGTTTGGTTAGTTTCCTAGATAAAGGGAATTGCAATTCCATGTAAAGAAACTTAAGTTTTGAGTTTTCCAAACTTTTTCAAGAAATAGATTGTTTTGGTTTGGTTTGCACATAAAATAAGGTGGGAAACCAATGTATTGATTTTTTTGTGTTTGGTTTGTATAGAAACAAAGGGAAAACTTTTGTTGATTTGACATTTCTCACTTTTTTGTGTTTGATTGGTTTTGAAATGTGTAGAGAAAAATATATATGGTCACCATGGTAAGATTACTCCCCACTAAAGACAAATTTATTTGTAATCGTTATGTGAAGTAATTTTAATAAAATAAAACTGTGAATCTAACATGAACAAATAGTAAATTAGCGAACTCATTATAAATATTTGTTTGCCTTAAAAAATCATACGACACCTGGAATAACATAATTAAATTGCTATGAATTGTGTACCTGATTTGACCTGAAATATACCTATTTGAGATGGAAAAAATCAAATGAAACCTGTTTTCGAGGAAAAAAATAAACAAGACATGTAATACCATGATTATTCATAATTTTATGAAATACGTACCTGAATTAGCCAGAAATTCTTATGAAACCTATAAAAACATATAAACAACCTGATTAGCCATAAATAACAAGACATGTAATACCATGATTATTCATAATTTTATGAAATACGTACCTGAATTAGCCAGAAATTCTTATGAAACCTATAAAAACATATAAACAACCTGATTAGCCATAAATATGTATATAACATAGCAAATCGCATCAAACTTGGAAATACCAAACATGTACGTAATGGCTGAGGGCTCAGAATTTGGTCAATATCTTCATTGTTAGCCGTCCAGTGCAATATCAATAGATATTGCAGGTTGCTAATCTTAGAAATTTTGATAATCATCATAGCCTAAACAAAAAAAAATTGACAAGCAACAAAACTATTTACAAAACTTCACAAACACTGAACGTCATCAAAACTGAACATAAAACTTCACCTGAACACAAACCTGAACACAAAACAATCTCACAAACACTGCCTGAACACTAGATAGTCTCACAAAACTGAGCACACAACTGCATGAACACAAGACAGTCTCACTAAATCTGAGCACAAAACTTCTCACAAACCTAAACACAAAGAAAATACCAAGGGGCTGAACACAAACAGTGCACAAAAACTGAAAATATGTGCACAAATCCTGAACACAAAACTCTGCACAAATAGCAACCAAAACCCCAACAACATAGAGCTAAACAAGCTCGAATCAGCATAGTAACAAAAAACAGCCACGGGAGCTCGGCGAGGAGCACAAATAGCAACCAAAAACCCAACAACATAGAGCTAAACAAGCTCGAATCATCATAGTAACAAAAAATAGCCATGAGAGCTTGGTTTGCACATAGTAACTGAATACATGTAAATGTTTGTGTTCAGGTAACTGAATACAAAAAATAGTAACTGAATACATGTAAATGTTTGTGTTCAGGTAACTGAATACAAAAAATAGTAACTGAATACAAAAAATAGTAACTGAATACAAAAAATAGTAACTGAATACATGTAAATGTTTGTGTTCAGGTAACTGAATACAAAAAATAGTAACTGAATACATGTAAATGTTTGTGTTCAGGTAACTGAATACATGTAAATGTTTGCACATAGTAACTGAATACAAAAATAGCCAGGCTTCCACATAGTAACTGAATACATGTAACAACCATGCCTCCACAAGTACTAAAATAGCATTTGGGGTGTATGCATAGAGGGCTTGGTTTGCATAATGTGTCTCACCATGGAAATGTTTGTGTTCAGGTATATAACATGAGGGAAAGAAACAGTCTCACCAAGGAAATGTTTGTGTTCGGGTAAATGTATAAAGTAAATGTATAATTCAAGCGCGAGTATATGCAAATTACGGCTTAGGGCTCAGAACTTCGTCAATATCATCATTGTTAGCCATCCAGTGCAATATCAATTGCAGGTTGCTAATCTCAGAAATTTTGACAATCATCATAGCCTAAAAGTAAAAAAGTCACCAACTAAAACTCATGACATAACAATATTTTCATTAATAACCCACAGTAGTAGCCATCCAATACAATGTAGATACATTGTAGGTTGCTTACATACAGTTTTTTTAGTTGTCATGTATATGGTGACTAATAAAGTTCCTGCAAACACAAGTTCAATGTAAAATTAGTATTCTACAATCATCACATAATGTTGGTAGCCACTGCCAAATATTTTTCATAGGCCTTTTATGACTTGAAATGACAATAAATACAAATAATCTCAGAAAGGCAGTGATTTCCCCAAATCCGACGAAAATTCGACGAAATCACAAAATACCACACACACCCATATTATGAATCTCAGAACTTAACATTGTAGGTTGCTAGAAACACCAACCAACAATACCTCAATAAACACCAAAAATGATCATAATAACCCCTTCTCAGTCAAAATCCGACGAATTTCATATCTCAACATCAAACTGAAAATGATCACAATAAATGTCTCCTTAGTCAAGCCAAGTCAGTTCATCATCACCCTAACCACAAATGATCACAATAACCTCTTCTTCCTCCTCTAATCCAACACAATTCATCATCACCCTAACCACAAAATCATAAATTTAAAGAAAATGTGTAGAGTTTAGGAACTCACCGAGCAATTAACAGCGACAAAGAAGCCGACGATGAAGGAGGATTTGAGTTTATTATATGTTTCATTCGAATGGTATACTTGGTATGATAATGAGAATGGGTTTGGGATTTTAGGCTGGGTTTAGTTTAATTTTGTTTTTCTGTTACTATGAGACAATCAACAAGCCATCCAAGCTTATAAAGTTATAAAATTTAACTTTGTAATGGTATACAAAAGGGACTTTATACACTATATCATCCAGTGCAAGAGAAAACTAACACCAGTGCAAGAGAAAACTAAATCAATTACCAAATCCTCAAACCATTCCCCATGCATACTTTCCAATTTAATTGGAACAACAACAGACTTCCACGTCTTGAACATTCAACATGAGAGAACACTACTAGTAGGTCAGCAAGAATATATGGAAACCACCAGTTAGTTGTCATGCAAAAGGGACTTCATACCTTATATCATCCAGTTTATTTTTGTTTATTTTTGTTTTCATATGTTGACATTAGTTTATTTTTGTTTTCATATGTTAGACATTGCTTGCATAAATCTTCATTGAAAAGATGAAGGAAAAAGAGTGGGTGTGGCTCCACGGGTAAGAATCATATCTTAATCTGTTGGTTCACCAATACTTGTAAAATTGTAGTAATTTAACTAGATCTGGAATGTATTTTGTTCTTGCTCCTTTTCTTTGAAAATCATAGATCCACCCTCGAGTACCAGCAAAAAGCATTACAATTTGTAAAGACAGCTGAAAAGAATTTGGGATTTCCTACAAGGATGTTCTGCCCTTGCACGGAATGTCGTAATATGAGCCATCAAGATGGAAGTACAATTTTTGAACACTTGGTTACAAAGGGGATGGATCTTTCGTACCGAATGAAATCACATTGGAATAAGCATGGAGAGAAACAAGAAAGTGGTGAGAAGCTTGATTATGAAGCCACTAAGGACGAGACATATAACTTATTCCAAGCTGCCTACTTTATAGATGAAGAACTTGTTCAGCCTATACCTATTAATGAACCTTCTGAACATGGACATGGTGACGAGTTCATAAGGAGACTAGAAGAAGCACAAACTCCTTTGTATCCAGGCTGCGAAAGTTACACAAAGTTGTCAGCCATTGTAGATTTGTATGGACTCAAAGGCAAGAGTGGATTATCAAGTAAACATTTCAATGAGTTGTTAGGTATCATTAAACGTATGTTGCCAAAGGACAATGTTTTGCTAGATTCAGCCGCCTCGATTAAAAGCTTCCTCAAGATATTTGACATGGGGTATGAAAAGATTCACGCTTGTGTGAATGATTGCTGTCTCTTTAGAAAGAAGTATGAGGAACTGGATAACTGTCCAACATGTGGTACTTCAAGATGGAAGATAAATAAGCGTAGTAAAGAAATCAGAAAAGGCGTTCCAGTTAAGGTTTTGAGATATTTTCCTATTATTCCTAGATTTAAAAGGATGTTCAGGTCTTCACAAATGGCTAAAGATTTGAGATGGCATTTTGATAACAAAAGCACAGACGGGAAAATGTGTCACCCTGTTGATTCTTTAGCTTGAGACCTGGTTAATGATAAATGGCCCTTATTTGCAGCTGATCCACGCAATCTCAGACTTGGACTTGCTACTGATGGTTTCAACCCGTTCTCCATCTTAAGCTCTAAATATAGTTGTTGGCCGGTAATGCTTGTGAATTATAATTTGCCTCCTATGTTGTGCATGAAGAAAGATAATATTATGCTAACATTGCTGATTCCTGGTCCAAAGCAACCGGGAAACGACATAGATATCTATTTGCAACCACTTGTAGATGATTTGCAATTGTTGTGGGAGAATGGGGTTGAGGCTTATGATGCATTTAGCAAATCAACTTTCAATTTGAAGACAATGTTGATGTGGACTATAAATGACTTTCCAGCATATGGAAATCTTGCTGGCTGTTCTACAAAAGGAAGAAAAGCATGCCCTATATGTGGGAAAAATACACATCATAGATGGTTACGCTTCAGCAAGAAGTTTTCATACATGGGTCACAGGAAATTTCTGAAACCCTCACATCCATACCGAAGAAAGAAATCGTGGTTTGATAATAGTGTAGAGCATGGCAGCAAGCCCAGAGCCTTAACAGGTCACAATATTTCTGCTGTTCTAAATGATTTTCCAAATGATTTTGGAAAAGGTGGAGACAAAAAAAGAAAAAGGAATAATAATGAGAATGATGGTGATGATGATGAGGATGAGGATGACACAAGTGACATTGATA